GACAAGACAGACCGCCCCAAACCAGCCCAAATGTGGGCACGGGCATGGATTGTCCGGACATATCTGCCACGTCGGCCCACACTAATATGACTCACTCGAACCCTACAAAATCTTTTTCTGCCTCAAACCCTAACATTAGCTCTTAGTCTCACCTCCTCCCCTCCCCTCCCCTCTCCTCACAATGTCTAGAGATTGAGATCAGACACCGGTGTGGTGGATTGGGAGCTCCTCGAGGCTGATGATTACAAGGAGCTCGCCCTTCGCTTATCCCAGGTGGAGACTTGTGGTAGGGAGGCATCCCCGCCATCGAGGCGTGGATCCAGTAGCCGAGAGCCGTTCCTGCCACCATGGCACAAGTCGAGCAATGATGGCGCGGATCTAGTTGTAACATGCTAGTGTACGTTGAGCTGCAAGCCAGCTCTGAACACCCGCTCTGTATATTTTCCGAACAAGTACTCCCTCTGTTTTTATTTACTTCATGTATTAGTTTTGACTGAAATCAAACTCTGATCAAGTTTATAGAAAACAATATGAACATTTATAATAAAAAATATATATGATGTAAAATTATATTTGATGATGAATCTTCTTCTGCAGAAAAAAGATTCATGATGAAATTAAATTAATTTAGCGGTGCATATTTAAATATATTTCTCTGCAAACTTCGTCAATGTTTATAAAATTTGACTTTAGACAAAGCTAATGTGCATCGTAAATAAAAACGGAGGGGGTATGAATAGGTCATTTTGGAGACATGGTGCCATGGAGGCCTTAAATTTAAAATTTCCAAAATTCAAACTTTTTAGCTCAAAAAATTCTGAAAAATACGCATGTATAAAAGGATGTAATGTGTATGTGTGTAAAATTTCAGGATGAAATACCTTGAATTGTGAGTTGCACAAAAAAACGGGGACTTTGCGGATGAACTGAATATATGCTAAAAAGCCCTGGATTTGTTTTTCTCGTGTAGCTCTCATTTTTATGTATTTTGACCTGAAAATTTACACACACGTGCACATTATGTCTCCATGGCACCCGGTCTCCAAACTAAAAAGGCCTCCATGTATTTTTTTTCAGAATATTATAGAACTAAAAAAGGCACATTTTGGAGACCGGGTGCCATGTATTTTTTTCAGAATATTATAAAACTAAAAAAATTGAATTTTGAAGTTTTTAAATTAAGGTCTCTATTGAGCTTGGTCTCTGTTTGGCATTTTGAAGGGAGTATTGATTTTGATATGGCCACCAATTGTCAAGGCCCTCCCCTAGTCCATACGTGCACGTGGGCCTGCCTTTGGACATCACATGGGCTGGGCCTATGCACCCCAGGCTGCCATTGCTACAAATACTGGGAGAAGAAGCAACGTACTGGGAGAAAGAAGAAGCAACGAATCGATATATCCAGTGGATCAACGGCGGCACGGACGGCTTCCCGTCCTCCTACCTCTGGCTCCCTTCCTTCTCTTCTTCTTATCTTCATTTTCTGTCCCTCAAACCGAAGCTTGTATCCATTGTAAGTGAGAAATAGATCGTGAGAGAGGCTACTGAGAACTTAGAGCATTTACAGCCGTACGTCTCAAACCTACCTCAAAGACAGAAGCCCTGGCCACTGACGAGTCACAAAAATACAACTCATACGGGCGCCTCAAACGGGCCTTAAACGTCTAGGCTAACCGACATCTTCGTATCCAGCCTAAATACGAGACGGATATGGGGCGCCCGGACGCGTCCGTCACGTCGTCCCAGCCCACGTTGACCCACCCAATCCCACATATATTCCTTTCCATCTGCTCGCTGGATTAAACCCTAGCCATTTCACTCCACTTCCCTCCATTCCCTTCTGCCACCCAATCTCTCGTCCGGCCTTTTCCGGCATGGCAGGCAGCGGATCCGAATCCTCCACCCTCAGATCCGTCGACCCCGAGCTCATCCCATGCGGCCTCGAGGAGGAGATGTCTGTTCGGCTTGCGCTTCGCCACTCCCGAGAGGAGGCCCGTGCGAGGCAGCACTCGGACTCCTTCCGTTGGGAATCCAGTGCGTCCGCTCAATGACGGATGGATTCGGCGCTAGGTGTGTTGTTGCTGCCTCACCGGAGGCGGTGCAGTCCTTCTGGCGTCCGAACACGGTAGCGGGCGCGCAACCCCTCCGTTGGCGTGCCGAGGTCATGGACGCACCATCGGCGTCGTCCAAATGCAAACTTGCATGGCGTGCCCGCCGCGCAAGGTAGCGGGCGCGAGAGCCCACAACAGCCCTCACGGTGGTAGACGTCGGCGAGGCGGAGTCGCATTCTCCCGCTCCCTGTATGGTGCACCAGTACGAGCGCCGCAACCGCGTCGTGGTGGATGTTGCCGGCTTGTCCTAATCTGACGTCCACTGGCACCATCCGGGTTCCGGGCTTCAACGAGGAAGAGTGGGGCATGGAAGATGGCGGTGCCTTGAGTCCCATTCCCTACTCTACCTTGCCGGCGACCGGACCAACACTCTGGGAAGCGCAACCGGCCGCTGGACATGGGCAGGGCGAAACGAGGCGAGCTCAGCTGTGAGGGTTCTCAGCCACATGGATAGTTCAATGTGCTCATCAGCGCCTCGCCCGAAGATATGGATCATCCAAGGCACATTAGCATGGCATACTCCTCCTGTTTGAATCGGAGTTTGAAACCAAACAAACTTCTCCTCAGGAGGATAGATGGGGCGATTCGTGTGAGATCCCATGTAGATCTAACTTTCTATTCACTCGTGAGATCCGGGCGGTCCAAGAGGGGGGGGGGGCACCACAGCTCCTCTCTTCTCGAGACTCCATAAATCCCTTATCAGTGTATAGATGGGAAAATGGAGGTTTCACATTGTATGTAATAATATTGATTTGAGGCATTTAATTTGAGGTATCTGGTTGTAGAATCAAATTTTTAGGACATGACCGGTCATTTTAAGAGGTCAGATTTGCGAAGTCCGGCTGTAGATGCTATTAGAGCATCTCCAGTAGACCCTTTAAAAATGCGAAAACTGTAAAAATCCGGCGACTATACGGGTTTGCCCCTTTTTTGGGTCAGGCCAGAACCAGTATAGTCGCTCGTCCCGTAAATGATTTTACGCTGGTCCGCAAACCGCCCCCCGCCACGCGGTATATCTACGGGTTTGCGGCGAGTATACAGGGCAAAACCCTATCCCCACGCCGCCGCAATTCCCTAATCCCCTCTTCGATTTCTTGCCGCCGGTGAGCTCGAATCCGCCGCCGCACTCCAGCATGTGGCGCGGGATGTGGAGCTCGGGCCGCCGCTCTGGCGGTAGCGAAGACCCCAAGCGGAAGCGGTGTGTCAGAGCCGACGACGCAAGGAAGCGACCCGCGAAGAAGTACACGAGCTGCGGCCTAGAGCCGCCACCATCTCTCGTCCGCCACGAGTTGGAGGAATACGACCGCAGGCAGGCGCGTCTGTCCTCGGGCGCGAGAAGCTCCGGCGGGGTGCCGCTCCTCATGCCGACGAAAAGGGAGCCGGAGGAGCTCCCGCCGCCTCGCCCGGTGAAGAGGGAGCTCGAGGCGGAGCCGGTGCGGCCGAGTGGTGGCGTCATCGGGCCGGAGGATCCTCCCATGGCAGAGGCGGAGAGCTTCGAGCGGGCCATTGTCGCGCACAGTGCGTGGGAGGAGGAGGAGGCGGAGCAGCGCCGTCGATCTCTAGCCGACCTCGATGACGTCCTCCTCGACCAGGGGCTCGCCAAGGCGCAAGACTTCGATGCCAACCTCAAGGCATGGCGCCACTAAGCCTAGGCGCATGACGACATCTACGTCGACTTCGTCTCCTCCAACGACGACGATTGAACTCCGCCGCCGCCGCACCCGGATGGCTCCGGTGAGCCAAATTTTGGCAGTAGTGTTTACGGCCTCCGCCGCTCATCCGATCTACTTTGTACAAATATGCTATGTATGAAATATGTATGATGATCAAGTACTATGAACGCTGCTAGTTCTACTAAAATAGTTCGATTTCTGACACGAAGCTCTGATTTCAAAGTTTATAAGTTCATTTTACACTTCTGTTGTGCCGCCCCTGTTTTCGTCCCGTATCCGAGGCATTTTACAAATTGTAAACTCAATTTGCAGGTCCGTATTTTAAGGAGTGTGCTAGAGAGATGCTCTTACACCGGTTAACTGTAAACTATGCATCATGCACAGCTCTCTGCATATGACTGCATCTCGAACATGGGACGGTGCACCAACCAAAGTGGGGCTACAGCTCTCTGCATATGATTCCGCGTTACCCGGATGGACGGCTTAGCCGCCGGCCGACTCATAATCCGGCAGCTGTGGCCCAACTGGTGAATTTACTAGTTATACCACCGACTGTCAAAAATATACTACTAGTTTGACCCCCGGCCACAAAATTCCTCACATTTTTTTTGTTGGCAATCAGTGTAGCAATCACCCAATCATACTTGCATCCATCAGTCATGATTCTAGAGTTGAGATCTACTTCCTCCGTTTCTAAATATAGTATTTTTTAGACATTTTAAATGGACTATAATATACAAATGTATGTAGACATTTTTTAGAGGGTAGATTTACTTATTTTGCTTTGTATGTACTTTCTTTGTATGAAAAAGCTTGTCCCTGCAATGAATGAATCTAGCATCAAATTAGTGTTAGATACATCCATTTAAGGAATAAGATTTGGGACACGTTTTTCGGACCGAGGGAGTAGTCACTGGTTGAAATCTCTAGAAAGACTTTGAAAACGGTGGGAGTAATTGAGAAAACAAAATGATTCACAGACCCACTCACAACCTTGTCAATCGCCATCGCTCAGTACACGTACACATTCTTATCATTCGCACATTGACACGTCGTTAGCTTAGTTGTCGTTGCTGCGCTCACTATACATAAGCCGTTGCCATACACAGTATCAGTGCATCGTTGATTACCAGATCGCCAGCCAAACACGTACGTAGTACTCGTACGTGCGTGTGCACACGTTCGGAAAGTCTTCGAGCGGCGCGCGGCAGCGGGAATGGAGGTCGGCGAGGCGGGTGCGCAGCAAGGGCGGGCGCTGGCAGCTGCGGCGCCGGAGCAGTGGCGAGGCGCCGTGGAGGCCGCGCTGCCGGGCACGCCGGCGGGCGCCGCGTGGGCGCACGTCGCCAGCTTCTTCTCCGCTCACCGCTACCTCCCTGGCATCGACGTGTGCGAGCGCGTCGTCACGGGAGCCGGCTGCGAGGAGGACGACGACGGCCGGCTGCCGATCGCCCCCGGCTGCGTCCGGCACGTGGCCTCGAGCGCCGCGGGGCTGTGGGCGCGCGAGGAGCTGCTGGAGGCGGACCACGCCGCGCGGCGCCTCCGCTACGCCGTGGTCGACAGCAACATGGGGTTCGGCCGCTACGTGGCCACGCTCCGCGTCCTGGGCCTCGACGGCGGCGAAGGCGGGTGCATGATCTCGTGGGCGTTCGAGTGCGACGCCGTGGAGGGCGAGGGGTGGAGCGAGGCGGCGCTCGTGGCGCGCCTCGGCGCCAGCGTCAAGGGCATGGCCGAGAGGGTGCAGCAGCTCGCCGCGGTGCCTCAGTAGCTGTCGCCGGCGCCCGACGTGGCCGTCGCCGACGGTGATTCGTTTTGGATGAATGCGTGCACTGGTTTAGTTAGCTGAGGCGCTAGCTTTTGACGTGTGGTGCTTAGATTCCATTCCATTGTCATGTGCGCAGTGGCCGTCGCTGCTGCCTTTGAGTTCTCAATTTCTTGGGCACCCTAATTTCCTTATCGTTTTTTAATTAGACGCTAATTTTCTTTATCGTTGATGTGTAATAGATGGAGACATTTGTCCAATCACAGAGGAAATAATAAAAATGGAGCCTAAATAACGTGGTGTCAGCCAGGCACATGAGCATGCTGTGATATTTTTGGCGCGCATGCGAGTTCACGGTTGACATCGACACGGACCGAGTAGTCTGTGGTCCCCAGCACCTTTCGTGTACATTTTTCTCCGTTCAGTGCGGCACATGGTGCGAACAGAGTGTAAGATTCGTTCAGTAAAGAAGAAGGAAAAAAGTCTACAATGGAGATTGGGAATTGGGATGATCAACCTGTTGTTTGTCTGAGAAACCATGGAAGGGTTACGGTCTCAGTTCCGCAACATTGTATGGCACAGGGCCAACCGATCATGAATTCTAGCATGATTTGCCATAAAAGTGGCTTGCAGAATTTTGTCATCTACGAAAATGAGTAATACGTTCAAACCCTAAGCCTCCATTTATCTATTCTCTCGTTTCATGCACCAAGAATGCATATCTGGATTCTGAACCAGTCCAACGTGGAGTCCTGAGTCATCTTTACCACTTGCAGACAGCCAGAGTCAATAGAGATAGGTATAGATTGCTACATTCCACAATTCTAGTACGTCATGACAAGAGAGCAGTCGAAGGCATGAGACGAAGATGATGGCACCAAAGGTGGTCTCTGAGCACCATACTTGTGGATCATATAGCACCAACTTCTGAGCAAGAGCCATCAGAGTTTGACTTAACCCAATCGTCAGCCGGTGAAAAAAACAGCATTATTCCGGCGACGACGTGCACCTGGTTTTCCTTGGCTTTAGGCGGAGACTTGGACCAGGGACATGTTTGGTTGCTCGCATTGTTTTTGGGCACTTTGCATGCTTGTTTTAGTTGGGCCTAATGAAAAAAAGGCAAAAAATTATCATCTTCACATCGTTTGGTTGCCTGCTGCCTGTATTAGGGGAACAATTTTGGCATGTCGTTTGGTGTCCTGTATTGACCGGAATGATGCAACTACACGGTGTTTGATTGCATGCACCAAATATGATTAAGAGTTAACAGTTACACATAACACATAAAGTTACACTATATTGCCTCGGCGACTGCGGTGGGCGGTGACCGCGGCGCCGCGTCCGATGTGATGAGCACAGAGTCGCGGACGAGCAATCATATCGGCGACATGGTGAACCATTTGTTACCGTCGACGTCGCAGGGGGAGGGGGGGGGGCGAATAGGAGGGCGCTGGGGCAGAGGGCCGAGATGAACGACGACGGTGGTGGTGCGAGTGCTGCAGGATGCGAGAGAGGTGGCCAAGAGGAAGGACGCCAGCGGTGGTGCGAATGCAATAGGACATGGAAGAGGAGGCCGAGAGGAATGATTAGAAAGGATGAATGAAATTAAGGAGTGTCAACAAAACAAATCACATATATGCATATGTATAGTCCACGAGGAAGACTAGGTCTACTCGTCTACGATCATCGTAACAGAAAACATGCAAGGCGAAAGTCGTGTGAGACTACGAGATAAACCTACCGGTCAAAGAAAATTTCAATGGTAGACCGATCACAAAGAATTTGACATAATTCGTCCAAATTAGCTCCAAATATGAACATGAAATTGAACATTTATAGCCGATGAAACTTCAAACCAATCGCCTGAATGAAATTATAACATCAATGCACATCTTTTTTGTGTACAACTAATTTTGAATCAAAGCATCGTTGTGTAAATTTAAAAAGAGAGATTAGAGAAAGAGATTAATGAAGGTACACAACAAACCAAGGTGCCTACTAGCTCGCATCCTTTGCATGTCTCCTACAACCAGACCCACCCATGTGCGCTTGAAATGACTCGACTCAACTTGACTTGCCAGAAATGGCCGATCCGATCAACCCTAGCAGGCCTGCCGAGGAGTGCTTTAATTTCTGTGCGGGCCAAGAATCTGATGCAGGCCAAGCAACCAAACATGCTGAAATCTTCCCGCGCGAGCCTGGTTAGGGTTGATACGGGCTACCAAACGCGTTATAGCACATGTATTTTAATAGGGTGTTTCTATGTACATGTCATATGCGTCACAACACCATAAGCATCACACCTTCCATTTTTGAAAGATCGTATAGAGGTTTTCTTTTGTTTGGGCTTCAAATTCAATAGAATCTGTTGCTGACTTGTTGTGCTAAGGAAGCGGCTGGCAGCTACAATGAGGTAGTCGTTTGGCAACGTAACTATGGAAACGATAGTGTGCTGGTGAAAAGGGTGAAATTTCCCTAGAGTACCATGACTGGTGTGACTTGTTAATCTTTAGTTAATAGACTGTTTGTCAGAGCTAATTCTACCAAATCCCTCGGTAGGGTATCCCGGCATGGCGATTAGGCCAGAGAGGAAACACGAGACAGATTTACCTTGGTCCAGGTCCTCCTTATGAGGTAAAACTCTACTCCTGCTCGTGTATATTGTGATTGGAGTGTACAAAATACAGGTAATACTGAGAGATTCTAATGTGTTCTATTGACTAGCTTGGCCCGGGCTTATATAAGATACTAGGCCCTAGGGTTTTGTTGGAAATATGTCCTAGATGCAATAATATTGTATTATTATATTTTCGTATTCATAATTAAGAGTTATCATTCTATGCTATAACTGTTATGATGCTGGATTATGTGATTTAGTGGAAAACTCAAATGCACGTGTGGAATGATAAACGATAAAATTAGGTTCTTAGTCTTGCCTCTAAGACTGACGGTGATCATGTTTTCCGGATTAAGTGTAACGATAGTCCTAAAACAACATTGAGAGTATGCCGTTAGAAGAACTATCATATTGAATCGACCCAAAGTTGTTTGTTATACTTTGAGTTAATATCTTCTGAAATTAATTGTTATAACACGGAGTGTTAACGTGCGTTTTAGTTTCTTAGACCATGAGAGTATTGTAGTTTCTTCTTACCGTACGGTGGCTCAAACGTCATCTGTAACACGGCGATCATAACGACAACTTACAGGTTCATCGGAAAGTTTGACAAGGGACTAGTTAGGTCGAGAGTGGAATTTTCTCCTCTAACGATGAAGATATATTTTTAGGGCCCTCTCAGTGTGACAACATCCATCATCTTCTGGCCAGACACATGTGACTATGTCATGGGGATGCTGGAACGTATCAACAAGAAAGAAGAACAAAATCAGTAATGTGGAGATCGGTATAGTGAGCATGTGTATGACTCAAGAGGATACCATAAATCTAGGGTTTTGTAAAGTATTGCGAAGCAAAGGGAATAGCACATGATAACCAAAGGTTCACTTGAATGACATCCGTGTACTCATAGGGATCGATATGGACGTCCACGGTTCCGCTATCGATCATTGAACAAAGGGGTTTTGTTCATTTCTATGTTTTACCGAACCTACAGGGTCACAAGCTTAAGGTAATCATGATCTGCCAAGCATAGTAGGATGGGAGTATCGAGGATTTATTTGTGAAATAGTTTCGTTAATATTCGAAATAGTTTCTAGAGGATCCGGAAGCGTTTCAGGGTCACCGAAAGGGTTTCGGAGTTTATCGGGCAATACTGGGTATTACCAATAAATAATATATTGCTGAAAAATGTTTCACAGATCTTAAATTAATAATAAAAGGCTCTACTAATTGTTAGGAGGCTTTTATAATTAATTAAATACCAACGGGCCTTAAAAGGCCAAGAGGTGGAAGGCAACTTGGGCCACAAGGGCCCAATAGGGGAGGCGCCCCCTTTCCCTCTAGGGGAGGCTGAATGGGGTGGTGGAAGGACTCCTCCTTCCCCCCTTGGCTGGCGCAAGGAGGGAATCCTTCCCCTCCTTGTGGTGCCCCTCCTCTCCCCTTCAACCTATGTATACCAGAGGCTTTTGCACCTTTTCTCTACATAAGTTTTGGAGCCTCCTATAGTTCTCTAGTTCTAATTCTAGTTTGTCCTAGTCGATCAATTAGAGATTGACCTGGATCCTTTAGTCCTCATAATTAGAATACCAATGTGGTTCTAATATCCTCCCTCTGGTTCTTGAGCGGCGATTAGCACTGGAAGGTGAAGCGCTGCCAGATCATGAAAACCGTACGATTGCAACTCGGTCTTCCGTTCGAGGGACTGTTCGTGGGCGGTTCGCGAGATCATTCATCTATGGTTTGAGGGACTCCAAGTACGATCTACACCGACTCGTCTTCTTTCGCTGCAACTCAGAGTCGGTATCGATGGAATCCAAACCGTTAATACATCTTTATAATATTCCTCGATGATCGTATGGCTTTTTTTTTGTTTTCTACTATGTTTCCCAACAGGTTCACCTAGTCGGCTATGTCAGTGAAGTGGAGTGATAATCCACAAGTATAGGGGATCGCAATAGTTTTCGAGGGTAGAGTATTCAACCCAAATTTATTGATTCGACACAAGGGCAGCCAAAGAATATTCTCAAGTATTAACAGTTGAGTTGTCAATTCAACCGCACCTGAAAGACTTAATATCTATAGCAAAGTATTTAGTAGCAAAGTAATATGGAAGTAATGGTAACGGTGGCAAAAGTAACAGTATTGGTTTTGTAGTGATCGTAACAGTAGCAACGGTAAAGTAACTAAGCAAAGATCAATATGTGAAAAGCTCGTAGGCAATGGATCAGTGATGGATAATTATGTCGGATGCGATTCCTCATGCAATAGTTATAACACAGCGTGACACAGAACTAGCTCTAGTTTATCAATGTAATGTAGGCATGTATTCCGAATATAGTCATACGTGCTTATGGAAAAGAACTTGCATGCCATCTTTTGTCCTACC